CCGCGGCGTCCCCCAGGAGCTAGTGGTCATTCCAGCGGCGGCACCCAGGAGCTAGGGGCCATTCCAGCGGCGGCAACCAGGAGCTAGGGGCCATTCCAGCGGCGGCACCCAGGATGTAAGCACTTTCACTGCAGCCAAAAGAGTTGCCTACTTACTCTCTCATCAATATTGAAGGAACAGGTTCAATATCTACTAACAATTTCTTAGATATAGTAAACGAATATTGACTTCTTAAAGTGACCTGGCAAAAAAAAATAAAACTGCTCAAGAACTACCTACAAAAACCAGCAATTATTGATGTGTCAATAATGACCTACATCATGTGACATGTAGGTCAGCACGAGGAACTGCTAAGCTCTGACACAAGAGACCAACAGTATATTAACCCATCCGACTTTGGGGGACAATATCTCAACAAAGCGGCATCTAGGAGGCGCAGGCAGCAGAGGAGGTATGTGCTTATTTTGCATGCAATTCTTTTTCACTTTAATAGACAACCTAAGCAAATAAGTTAACTAAATAAATGTATGTTGCCTTAATTTTCAGGAAAACAATACCTGGAACTTTACAAAATAACCGAAAATGTACAAATCAAATTAAAATCAGGTTAATTTGCAAGTAAGCCACATTTAAACAAAGCAATAATTGAAAGCAAGCACAGATTTTTGACAAACATGCAACTAAAGATGCCATTCAGGCGTTATGTTGGTGCCATATAAATATAACAAACCCATATTTGTTACAGGTTCTTCTTTAGCCTGAAAAAATACATTTAAAAGGCATTTATAAACTGAATATATATCTGTTTTATCACCTTTGCATCTTTTTTTAAAAGAAAATATGTACCGAAGGCAATCCGTACATTGGATTGCTGATCCGATTTAGGCACTGCTTTGAATCACTGGCCAGGAACAAACATGTAGATCATGCCGACTGGCTTCACTCTGGTTTTGCTTCTTCTGGGCCAGTGATTTAGAAACACAATGAAACCAAGGAGCAAAGGCAGCATTCAAATCTTTCTCAGTACAGGTATCTTTTGAGTTGTAATATAAGGCCTTGTTCACACCAAATGCAGAGCAGATCTGCATGAGTTTCTGCACATGCAGTGCAGTGGGTTGTGCCGCGTTTTTGATTCGTTCCGGGCCGTTTTTGGTAAAAAAAAAATGTTTCGTTTAAAATGGGCTTTTAGTGCGTTCCAGGCGTTGGCATGTGTTTTTGATGCGTTTGCATGCGTTCCAGAGCAGGTAAAATAGGGCCTGCTGTATTCCATTGGAATACACTGGACGTAGTTTTGCTCCGGTCTGTAACTGCTCTGCACCTGCTCCGCGCTTGGCGTGAACAAGGCCTAAGTAAAATTGACACTTATTGAGAATTAATAAACACATGTTATTGTTGCGTAATTGACTATGCTGGTTTACATTTGCCTACAGAGCTTTTAAAGGATGTAAGTACTTAAAAGGGGCTGTACTAACTAAAAAAAACTAATTTGAGATGTGAGGCACCTGAATCGCTCACAAATATCAATCTGCCAAGGTCTCTGGTTACATGTTAACTCAACTGATGAAGAAATCTCAACTTTTTATTTATAGCTTAATCAGTGTAATTAAGACTCCGCAGCAGGAGCAGGTACATAGACACAGAAACCTTGCATCTGGCGATAGAGAGCGCGCACGCACACACACACTTCGAGCAGCAGGATTGATACTTTCCTGTGGGGGAAGGAACCCCCTTTCACAAATTAGGTCCATTTGCTTTTCAATGGGCCCTGTTCATCACTTAAAATGTAATTATGTTTGAAAAGTTTTTGCATATGCTATAATTGGCGTAAATGCAGAATACATAAGAAGCACACATGCGCTGGGTGTGTCACAATACGTTCTCATCCTCTAGTAAACCAGCCACACTGGCAGCCTCCTGTACTGCAATTAGTCTTATGCCACCTCCCAAAAGTTTTATTAACTGTAATAAAACACAAATTAAAAAAAATAAATAAAACTGACCTAGTTAAAGCAGAGATAAACCTTCAACATCTTAATTTTTACAAAATAGAAATTATTGAAAAAACACTGGAAGCTCTACCCTTCATGTGCTGGAAAAATTCAGGGCTAGTTCACACCAGCCAGTGCGTTCCGGCCAGATTCTGCCTCTAACGCACTACGGCTGGCTCACCTTGTTGTGGGGTGGGAGGGGGCGTGGCAGTGCATTGACGTGAATGGCACCCCAGCTACGCCCTCCGGCCGCAATGCACATCAATGCCTGCAGTCCCATTCACTTCAATGCCACGCCCCCTCCCACCCCACAACAAAGTGAGATGGCCGCAATGCGATCCAGTGCGTTCCGCCCAGAATCGGGCCGGAACGCACTGTGGCTGGTGTGAACTAGCCCTCATAGGCTACCTCCAGGCTAAAGTTATCAAGTAAACTGCATCAGTTACACGGCAAAGACAAGTTTCCTAATGGATATTAACTTATTTCTTGCATTATCCTTTTCCCTGTTGAAGATAATGCAATAGGGAGTGCATGCCGCCTGGAACATTGCTACCATGGGTGCCACTGCACAGCTATACCAAATGACAACATATGAATACTTCCAAAAAGAGAGAGAAGCGATAGACCACACAGCTCAGCAGCAGCAAATGATCACTTAATCTGATTTCTTTCATCTGCAAAGACAAGTCGAGGTAGAGGAGTTGTACACAAAGATAACTTTCTTAATGTAAAAGTATGGCAAGTATTTCAGACTTACCGGTAGTCTCCATATCAGCAGAAAAAAAACCAACGCCAGCTCCCATAATTAGTTGTATTCAAACATCAAAATGAAACAAAAAAAAAAACATATTAGTGGGTGTGTGTGTTTTTTTTTGTTTCATTTTGATGTTTGAATACAACTAATTATGGGAGCTGGCGTTATATTAGGGTTGCACAGATATATTAGGGTTGCACAGATACTTTTCGAGTACCAGTGCCGATACTTGGCATTTTCAACTACCGGGGTTGCAGCGGTTGCACCTGGGACCTGGCTCTGGCGCTCCACCACTGTCCTGAAATCATTAGTCTGTATTGTTTTAGAAAAACTGTCACATGACAATAAACAAAAATGTATCAGTACTCGTACTTGTAAGTACTCGGCAAGTACCAGTACTCGTACTCGCAAAACTGGTATCTGTGCATCCCTTTATTTATATAAACAAAATCGTACATTAAAACAGAGATGTACAAATCCCAGGAGCTCCGTGTGCTCCTTACAAATGACAGCTGCCTCCTAACTTTTGAATTTTTCTCTAGTCTAGCCTTGGAGCTCAAAAGTATCGGTACATGTACTCGTACTTGTACCGAGTACTGTACTTGGTATCTGTGCAACCCTAATATATATATATATACACACACACACACACACACATATATACATATATATATATATACACACACACACACAAAAGTGGCTCTCGTACCTCCAACAGCAGATTCTCTTTCTTCTACATCTTGAAAAGTAACCTGGCTGGGCAAACTATTTCTTGAACGAGTTACAGATTCTAATTGTGATGCCCGTCCTAGCAAAGACAGCTGATCAAGAACTTCCCCCTCTTTGGCCTCTAGATCTGACTTTGAAGTGGTTAAAGGTTTGATACTTTCGGGTGCTGCCAGTCTGTTGGGGTCACCCAAGCTAACTACAGTGCCACTGTCCAGGCTTAATACCCTGGCACGGCTTTTGGTACCACTTGAGCTGGTAGTCCTTCGGTTGGAGCGTTTTTTGCTAGTTCCTTCACAACTGAAGTGGGTTCTACGAGACTCCGCCCCTTTGTCTTTGATGTGATATTTTGTCCTTAGAGCAGTGTATCTGGCCTCTGGGGACTGACATGAATGGGAAGTAGTGCTGGAAGAGCTATCACTGCTGAAACGGTGAGCTGACTGCACACTTGAGGTCCTGCTCAAGTCGCTTTGGTCACTAGAATCCTCATCATGACAAAAACCAGTGCTGTGAGGTTTGGTATCAGCTATGCCTTGAAACGAGACGTACTCTTTGTGTCTGCTAGCATCAAAGCTGCTGGCTCGTTTTTTACCTGTCCGCCTCCTACATGATTTATGTGAGGAAGATGTCCTGTGTATTAAACTAGACGATTTGGGTCGTACATCGTTATCCCGATGCTTAATACCCGTTTCCTTAAATGATCTTATGTCTACTAAAATCACTGGTTTCTCAGTTGGGTCATCGTGAGTAACTGGGAGCTTCCCAGGCATCCAGTCAGCTTGAGCAGTTAGTTCATTTGCATGGGGGTTCTTGTTTGCTTCTTCAGATGCCGATGAGCTAAGACCCCTTGGACTCTGCACATCGTCAGATGTGTTGGCATCCTTTGCTTCCTGAGCTGAATTTCTTTCTACAGCAGTCCTCACACTACTAGTCCTTTTATCAGTAGCTGAACTATGCTCCTCTTCTGGGTCACTACAAAGGCCTCTCTTTATAGCAGTTGCCTCCTCATGTTCCGATAAAATGCTCTCCACATGAGTTGAACTCGTCTGTTCACTTTTGTAGCTGCTAACGGTGCTATTTGTGTCCCGGTCTGTCCCACTACAGTAGCTTTCTGTGGATCCACTGCTCCTGGTGCTAAGGCTCCTTAGGCTATCCATGCTTTTGTCAGACTTCATATGTTTTACGCTACTGGTCCTTGAAAGCTGCTGGGAACCTTTGCTTTTGAGACAGTCTAATTGAAAAATCCCTGAAGCACAAGCATTATCTACAAGAGAATCTTTGGACCCAGAATGTGGTTTGGAAGCTTCAAGTTCACTAACAGGATCCAGCCCGCGCCTTTGTTGATAGAGTGGAAAGTCCGTGAGGGAAGTGTCTGGAAAAGCAACAGCAGAGCTTGAAGTCCTCGGGACACCTCTTGGTCTATGGTCTTTCCTGTATGAATGCGAATGCAATGGAACAAGTGAAGCCAGTTCTGTATCACAGGCATTAGACAGTGACAGATCAACATGGTGATGGTGACTGTGTGTTGCAATTGAGCCTTTGTCACTGAAGTCCCTATTAAAGTCCTTGCCTCCAGAGGATATTGAAGGCTGAATGGAGACAAAAGAGTCATTGGAGACCAGACGGAAAAGCTTCTGATCCACAGTTAACTCTGCAGGAGAAATAGATCACAGATTAGAAAACAAAAACTCAATCTATAATAGAAAACACTGTATATTGCACATCAGAGCTAGTAATAAGAGTTAAATACATTTCAGGCACAATTTTTTAACCATGAGAGGACTAGAATATTTTATACGGTATACGCCCAAAGCAACAAAACCTAATTTATACGGACTCATATTGACCAATAACAAAATAAAGAAGAACTCCAGGCGAAATTATTAAATTGCTTGGAGCTCATCTTTAAGATTTGCTCTGCCAGATTCTTTGCTATGATAAGAGTACGGTACTTCAATGAGAAGTTATTTTTAGTGAGTGCGCATTTTAGTTATGATTGTAAACATTATATGAAAGTAATAAATTAGAGTCACTTCTTTCAATAAAAAAAATTTAATAATTGTTCCTATAAATACCAGCTGAGGATATCAAGCAAATAGGCAGATAACTAGGATTCAATCAATTTGGGCATGACATTTCTCCATCATACTGACATCACTATGTATATCTTTTGGCACAAATGAAGAAGGTTAAAATGAGGGCTAAAAAAAAGTCCCAGTCTCTTCTAAGGAGTTGCCAATTCACCTGGAAGGGCATGAGCCAGTCTGATTATTTAAGAGATGTCACATTTTTAGGCTTCATTCACACTATGCTATTTGGGATAGCAAGCAGACAATCGCAGCAGGAATCCCAAATATCCCATTTAGATGTGGCCACTGTACCCATTCAAGTTAATGACTGGGTGACATCAGCCACATCTGTATGGGGTAGTATGCATGTAATCGTATGTAGGCCCTCACGGGCAGGGCCCTGCATACCATCTTGTCTTATGGTATCTATCTACCAGTAGCTGCCTCATTTCCCACCCTCGGCTTATATTCGGGTCAATACTTTTTCCCAGTTTTTTTTTGTAAAATTAGGTACCTCGGCTTATATTCGGGACGGCTTATACTCGAGTATATACGGTATAATATAATAATAATGTGATACAATTGCATGCTGTTTGGAATGGATCACTGTCCCTGGACACAGGATAGATGCATCCAGGGACAGGGATCCATTCCAAACCGCATGTAATTGTATCACATATGATTACACGCATGCTACCCCATACAGATGTGGCTGTCACCCAGTCATTACCTTGAATGGGTACAGTGGCCACATCTAAATGGGATATATGGGATTCCTGCTGCTATTGTCTGCTTGCTATCCCAAATAGCATAGTGTGAATGAAGCCTAAAAATGTGACATCTCTTAAATAATCAGACTGGCTCATGCCCTTCCAGGTGAATTGGCAACTCCTTAGAAGAGACTGGGACTTTTTTTTAGCCCTCATTTTAACATTCTTCATTTGTGCTGAAAGATATACATAGTGATATCAGTATGATGGTGAGATTTCATGCCCAAATTGATTGAATCATTATCTGCCCATTTGCTTTATATGCTCAGCTGGTATTTATAGAAACAATTATTTATTTATTTTATTGAAAGAAATGACTAATTATTACTTTCATATAATGTTTACGATCTATTTCAAACTATCAAATACTATTACATGCAGACTGTCGCTTATAGCGGTCTAATAGTGTGAATGAAGCCTTAGGATGCTCCTTTTGAAGCAGCCCCCCAGTGTTCAAGGACAAATGGGCCAGTTCCAGTAAGGAGTTGGACATGCACCCTTTCAGTCCTCCAAAAACAGTGATATTTATGTTCCTGATGTGGTGCCCTGGAAACTTTAAAAAGGAAAGGCAGACAGCATTGCCTCGTTTTCTTAATAAAATCCTGACATCTAAGCAATAAATACCAAAATTCCTTCATTAACCACCTCCGGGCCGGCCGTAGTAAAAAAACGGCCGGCCCGAGCTCTCTAGATCTGAGCGGGCGTCTTTAGACGTCCGCTCAGACAGCGGGAAATGGCCGAAATTTTAAAACAGGCAGCGATGACTGTCACCATACAAGCGATCTGCCGGCTGTTGAGCCGGCGGATCGCGTGTATGGGGTGCCGATCGGTCCCGTCCCCCCCCATCCGCGCCCCCCCCCTGCCGTTGTACCGCTGATCCCGGGCTCCGCTGTGCCCGGTGCGAGTTTTTTCGAACGAGCACATATAGACGATCGGCGGGCTATGGAGCCGCTAATCGCCTATATGTGAAACACCCGGTAACGGGTGTGTGCAATGGTCGGGTCTTTTCTGCCCGTACGTGCCCGCTAGAGGGCGCGCGCGAGCAGAAAAAAAATGCCGTCTGGACGGCAACCCGCAAATGCTGCAGTGCCGTCCGTCCGTTTTTTTACTACGGGCGGACGGCAAGTGGTTAAAAAAGCGAATTTTCTTATAATAAGGACAGATTGTGTACTATAGGTGGACTTATGGATGAGGAGATATCAGATCCAGAAGCTTGCGCATGTAAAGGGTGCCTGAGGATATGTATTCATATAATTATTACTGTGTAAACATGCCCATCAGAGATCTGGATCCCAACACAGCTCTTGGTGGGCAGAAAGAGAAAGGAAAAGAAAATAATAAAAAGTCAAACTGACAATGTTAACTTCATCTAAATATATAAAATTAGCCAATTGGAGTGTTAAAAGGGCACTGATTATTTTTAAACAAATACTAATTTGGTGATTCACTAATCAATATACATAACTTCCTGGCAAACATATAGTAACCCTCCTGTTATAAAGCAGTGACTACATCTTTCTAGTGCAAGCCAAGCTGAGATTCCACATGAAAGTCCAAGTATCAATAAACCTTATAACTTTCTATAGCCAGCTTGGAAGGCTTTCACTTAATTTAAGGAAAATAATGAGTTGCCAGAGCAGATTAGTTATCTGAATATGAGTTTCAAAAAGGAATGGATCCACAAGAAACCTAGCAATAGGCAGAAAAGGTTTTGCCACTCTTTCAATAACACTAAAAAAAAAAACCCAACAAAATTTGATCATCAATTATTTAATTTCACTAGTAAACTAAACCTACCAAAAACAAATGCTTTGAAAAAAAAAAATACAAATTCCAGGACAGCCGAAGGAGGAGACAGAGGTCTCTTATGGGCTGTCCTGGAAGACTACTGGGGTAAAATTAGCTTCTCTTGTGTTTTTGTCATTTCTTAGCAGACTTGTTAGAAACATCTCTGGAGATTCCACATACAGCTGCACATGCTCTAACAAAAGGGTGGTCTACATGGAAAGAGCATGCTTTTATAACACCAAATATAACTGGTGCAAGCAGCAATTTACTAGCAGATAAAGGGGCTATGAATGCAACTGAACCATGCTGTTAATGAGTGTGTAACTGGCATTCAAAAACATAAAAAAAAAAAAGTAAAGAACACCTAGAATACAAAATACTAGAACAAGGTGCCAGCAGAGTAGAACATTTCCAACAAACAAAGTATACCAAATTTTACGGAGAAAAAAAACCCACAAGCACCATTAGATATCAGGCACTGCAGCCCCTGAAAGAAAGGAGCAAAACATACAGATACATGTTACCTGTTCTTATATAATTATGCGTTAATGCAGCCAGCGAGGGGCACAGTTACTGTGGGTTGCATCTAAACTGGCATCAATTGGATAGTACATTGTATGAACGCAATTATACATATAAGTACGTAGATTCCATCTGTGCTCTTTGGAACAGTAGCATTTTGTCTGCCATATTCAAACAGCTCAAAAACTAGGTCAGGACATTTGAATGACACAGCGTTAGCCAGATGACTATATTGAGACCACGCAGTCGAAGCAGAAATTATGGGTATGCTGGTAGGTTAAATTACCCATCGGCTTCATTAAAAAAAAACTCCGGAGGAATAAGGCTACTCAAGAGCTCCTATAACTAATGAACCACGGAATTCTCATTTCTCTTGTAGAAATCTCTGGTGTAAACTTTATGAGAAGCAATTCAACAGCAAGACTAGGGCTCCCTTGCGATGACTATTGTCAGCTGACAAAACTGGAAAAATCAGTTGCAGATATCTTATGAGTCCCTGAAGCCAGTTAGTGATTCACCATTACATTACAAATATCAGTTTAAGTTACAACCTGCAGTCACAACACTCATTTAATGAAAATTTTATTTGGTGACTGCGTCGACATGAATGTGTCTGCAATCTAAATTGGCATTCCCCAGAGAGTCCTCAAGAACAACTTAATGCACTAAAGTTTTAGAGCAAATTATCACTGCATTCATTAACACAACAACAATAAGGTGCTGCTCGCATTTATACTTTTTTTCAGTGCCGTGAAAATGTAAAAACTGCACACGAAACACCTACGATCTGTGCCATAGTCAATGGTAATATACGTGCATAATGTAAACAGAGAGCAAACAGTTCTAATGTGAAGATTGCACAGATCCAATGCTGCATTTGGTTTGTTGTTTTGTTGCACAAAACTGCACAAGTGTGAATAGTGCCTTTAAGGGATGCACCAATACCGTTACCAGTATTGGTGCAGAAACTTCACTCGTGAAAATGTACGATACCCAAAACCGATACCAGAGCTTTGCATTTTTTTTTAATTGAAGCGACTGTCGTAAGATCCTGTGCTCAATGGGGACCTCACATCGCCTGTTTACAGTGCTGTTCCCCACATCACCCCCTTCTGAGATCCCCGCACCCCTCCTGAGACCCGAGATATCATCCGGGCACCCTGGAGCAGAGCAGCAGCACAGTGCATGTAGAAAATTCATATACCATTATTCTGCATTGCCATGTAATGTATTGCTTTTTGTAGTCCTTTATAGCCAGTGCCATTCTACATTGCGGTATAATGTATTGTGGGATTTGTAGTCCTCTATAGCTGATGATGGTATTCTGCATTGCTATATAATGTTTTGCTGAGATTTGTACTCTACAGCTGGTGGTAATCTGCAATTCTGTATAATGTAATGTAGAGATTTGTAGCCCCTCTACAACTTGGAGTCTGTGGCAGAACTACCAGGGTCGCAGGGGTTGCAGCGGTCGCTGTGACTAGGCCCTGGCGCTGTCCTAAAATCATTAGTCTGTATTGTTTTGAGAAAAACAAAAATCACATAACACAAAAAAAGGTATCGCTAATTGGTTTAGGCAAGTACTTGAGGAAAAGTATTTGTACTCGTACTGGAAAAAATGGTATCAGAGCATCCCTAGTACCTATAAAATAACCCAACTTATTATATTACCTGTAGCAGCCTTAAAGGAAAACTGTGCTGAGAAACATGGGGCCTATCACTGTTGACCGCCTAATGAAAATCTACCCACCTGGCTGTCTCAAGCTCTTAATCACCAACCTGGAACAAGTATGCAGCAAGCCAAGTCATAGTGAGTTGGACGGCAAATCATTACCCACCATTCGGCTTCTTGATTGGTCGGAAAAGCTGGCCCCATGCTCCCTCGTCAGCAGATGACAAGGGAGCATGAAGCCATCTTTCTGGGCAATCAGGAAGCCGGGGGAGCAGGTAATGACTCGCCGTCCGGCTTCCTGATTGGCCAGCTTTACGACCAATCAGGAAGCTAGGCGGCAAGTCATTACACGCTGCCGGCTTCCTGATTGGCCGAAAATGAGTCGCTGCCCAGATACCCGTTACCGGAAGCTCAGGTATCGGAGCATTTGCGAGTACTCGTCCAAATACTCGGTATGGGCACTGATATCGATACTAGCATAACTAATGAAGTACTGAAGACATTAGATCAGCTCAACAACCAGAGAACTAGCACTTTCAGGACTCCCCTGTAAAAGCAGTTTCCTTATTTCTCTCAGCACAGGTTTCCACAAATTGATCTGTAAAAAAAAGCACTTTTAATGCTCCCCAATGATCAATTTAAGAAACATTTTCTCTGATACACTAAGATACTTAATACACAATGAAAAACATTAACACACTGTATCATATGCTATGCAGTCTGTGCTGGACAAGTGAATTGGATGGAAGCAATAAAGCCCTAAGCCAGGAAAAGCTGCAGCCATGCATGTATTTTCTAGCAGATTATACAGTAGCATTCCAGCTGTGATATATGCATAGATAGCTCATTTAGCTAAGCAACACTGCAGGGTGTGAATAGGCATTGTTTCAAGGACAAATGCTGCTTACTTGGACACTACTGCTCATGACCTTGTATTGGTCAATTTAACATGCAGAGAGCAACACACTTTCAGCAACAGTCATGGCACCTTGCACACAAACTCATTCTGTTTTACCTTGGTCTTCACTTCCTTCTTTGCACAAACTATAGCTCTGGCCAAGGCTAAGACTGATATCATCTGAGGTCTTTGCAGCATCAGTATCCCCTGCAAAGACAAGAATTGTCATGCTAATTTGACCAATGTCCATGGACACTAGGCCAACCAGGTCAGGGCCAACACAAATATCACATTGCTTGAAAAGGACTAAATGACTGCAATGCGTTTGAAAAGTGTGCTGCACTTAAAATAGCACCAGTGCCTACACATAACAGGACCACCAAATAAAATCTTTCTAGGGTTAAATATTGGGGGAAATATGCCCTAAGAGAAATATGGAGCTGTCATTGCTGAAAACTTTCTAAAGATTAGTTGCCTGGTTGTCTATGCTTTAAATACTTTGAGTCTGTGACCTGCAAAAAAAAAAAAAAAAGTGCTTCACTGTAAGAATCAGTTCAAATGGTTTTAAGCTGATAGTTTTTCAGTAGACAGCCTTAAATGTTTTTTTAAGACAGCAGGCCGCCACTTTAATGCTCCAGAACAAGCATACTTTTTAATCCAGTTCATAATAGAAGTCACCAACACTCGATATGCACGAGAAGTATAAAGCACTTTTATTGAATTGTCACAAGTGCCATGGAGCCATACAGAAGTATACAGCTTTTACTTCTCGCACATATCACTGAGTGCTGGTGACTTCTATCATGGACTGCATCTGACACGGCGCCATCCGTGTTGTCACTTCAAGCACCAAACTACCGTGAAGGTCTGTATGCTGTATGGAGTGCGGGTGACTTTTTATAATTACTTTTTAATCAATTCACAGAACAAAAAGTGCTTATTGAGCCTGACTACTGCAAGGGAAGTGCTTAAAGGGCAATTCCACTTTCCCAGATGAATTTGTGAAAATGGAATGTCCCCCACCAATCGGCCCCCTCTTCCACAACCAAACCA